TTTTTCCGTACGTGATGAGTGTTGCCAATAGGGGTGATGACGGGGTACAGTAAACGAAATTCTATTTAGTCCGTCAGTTAGATGATCAAAAAATAAAGGACACGTATTTTTTCTTTGGGCAATCATTCAAAAAATGACAAAGTTATAGCGCGTCAAAGTTTGGGAGTAGGAGCTCGTGATGTCACTTTTGAGTGAATTTTCACTTATAAGTGTACTCAAACGTGACGTCATGCGACTTTTCAAATCAATATATCTCTGCAATGTTTATATTATGTGAAAAAAGAAAAAAATACGTGTCCAATACTTTTTGATAATCTACCTGATAAACGAAGAAAAAAAATTAGTCATCATCCCTATTGTTAAAAATCTTGGTTGGTGATTTTCAATTAAAAAAATGTGGTAGAGTTCAAAAATAAACAGGAAACATTATTATAAACTCGTAAGCATTGAATTCTCTACTCGGAAAACTAAAACATGGACCTTGTTTTTTTTAACGATGTTTTTTTCACGATAGAGATAAAAACTTTTTTGTTTTTTTGCATTTACAATCAGGCAGGTCGCTTGAAAGTCATACTTGTTACATAATATAAAAAAAAAACAAGCGTCTTGTCTTCCGTAATGCGGAGGTTATCAGGGGTGTTTTAATTAAAACCAAAAAACATGTATGATGTTGCCTATAACTATAAACATACCGAAATATTCCATAATTTTAAAATTATTACAGCCAGCGTATGCTATAAAAGAGTTATTTGGATCTAATTATTTATTTATCTGACTGCAATTTCATGAAATCTTCTATATCTACCTACATATATATAAAACTCAAAGGTGACTGACTGACATAGTGATCTATCAACGCACACCCCAAACCACTGCACGGATCGGGCTGAAATTTGGGATGCAGGTAGATGTTATGACGTAGGCATCCGCTAAGAAAGGATTTTGATCATATCTACCCCCAAGGGCATAAAATAGGGAAAGAAAGTTTGTATGAAACTTTGTCAATTTTAAACCGATCGGGCTGAGACTTTGCATGCAGGTATAAGAAGAATCATAGATGAATGTCATTGTGTATAATACAAGCCTGAGAACAAAAACTGTAGACTACACTTCAGCTCTACACAGAAGCAAAGCGAGGGCGGGCCGCTAGTGAAATATATAAGCCATGGTCATGCTTCAGTGCGTGCGGGGCAGGTCGGTGACGTGACGTAATCGTTCACGAGCTCGATAGACATGGCCACTCACTAACCCCGTTCCCACATTAATTGTGACATGCCTTCAAATCGGTCACTTCACCAGTGGGACTCGAAACGTGGAGATATTTTCTCTATCCCGTAAACCTATTGGGGGCCTGTTGAGTTGAGATCCATTGCTTTCTCTTTATTGAGTGACAGGGTCGGAAGTTCTGTATTCCGTAAACAATATGATATTAAGATTCATTATCATCTCCCGCCGTTGATTTACGAACCGATGGCGTAGCGTTTGACTTTCACAAGAGCTTGTAACAGCCTAGACTGAATAAATGAGTTTGAGTTTGATTAAATAATCTTATCATGTTGATGCAACTGCGATCTATCATTACGTTTTCATCATTACGAGTTTGTCCTAATTTGCTGGCTAAGCAGAAATAAGATTGATCTTTTAAAGCCCAAGAGAAAAGGTTTGAGGTCAATTAGAACTGTCTAGTTGTCCTATCGTCATCATCATCATCATCAAGAGCCTATCCTAGTCTAAGGCTGGACATAAGCCTCTCCAATTGCACGCCACTCAGATCGATCTTGGGCTACTCGCATCCAGCTCCTGCCAGCCACCTTGCGCAAATCGTCACTCCATCGTGCCTGAGGACGTCCTACACTACGTTTGCCTAGACGCGGTCTCCACTCCAGAACTCGTCTACCCCAACGGTTATCGGTTCTTTGGCAAATATGGCCAGCCCACTGCCACTTTAACTTGCTAATCCGGTGGGCTATGTCGATGACTCTGGTTCTTTGTCGGATTACCTCATTTCTGATGCGATCCTCCAGAAAAACGCCGAGCATAGCCCTTTCCATAGCGCGCTGAGCGACTTTGAACCTGTGGACCAGCCGTACCGTCAGTGTCCATGTCTCGGCTCCGTATGTCATCATAGGTAGGACGCACTGATTCAAGACTTTTGTCTTTAGGCACTCGTCATCATCATCAGTCTCTTAATGTCTCCACTGCTGAGACATAGCCCTTGCCTATGGATGGAATAGGGAGAGTGGGCCGTAACCCACCACGCAGGCTCAGTGCGGATTGGTGGGTGCTAACGACTGCAGAAACAGCCGGTACCAACGGCTTAATGTGCCTTCCGAAGCAAGTAAATTTTTGGTCACCCATCCAATGACCGACCACAGCGTAAGTTGCTTATCTTCAACGATCGCAGCCGAACGCGCTAACCACTTGCGCCAACGAGCTCCTCTCGCAGTAACCTTATAGAACAACTGTGTTGAATAAATAAAAAAGTGTTACTTTTTTAGAACCTAATTTGTTGAGTGAGGTAGCTTCTTGCCGGAGTGTAATCCAACCTAATTGGAGCCTAGACTACGTTGTCGGGTTTCCGTGGGCGGGCGATTTATGTTCGAGCTGTACTTCTTACTATCACTCGTCTTCGGGTCACTGACCCCACTCCTCATCTATCATATATGAACTTCCTTATCTTGTGTTGTTTTAAACATGCATCATATTTTTAATCATTTTTATGATAAACACCTTTGCTTTTTAACCTCCGCCAAAAATACTTTTCCCTTGGTATTAGGTACATTTGTAATATTATTATTTACTAGTGGCCCGCCCTCGCTTCGCTTCAGTGTAGAGCTGTAGTGTAAACTATAGTTTTTGTTCTCAGGCTTGTGCTATAAAGAATGACTTTATTTATATAATGACACGTGTTATTGTGAGTCAACCATAAAAGATAGACATATGCTGTTGCAGGCTATTTTTTAGACAATTTTATGTAGAATATTTCCGTCATACATGATTTCTATGTAACTTTAACCATTAAGGCTGCACCCGCGACGGAAGCTTAAAAAATGGAGTAACTTCTCCCGTTTTCCCAACATTTCCCTTCACTACTCTGCTGCTATTGATTGTAGCGTGATGAAAAGTATACTATAACCTGCCCAGGAGTATGAAGAATAATTGTACCAAGTTTCGTTAAAATCCGTTGAGTAGTTTTTGTTTCTATAAGGAACATACACACAGACAGACAGACAAAAATTTTCTGATTGCATTTTTGGCATCAGTATCGATCAGTAATCACCCCCTGATAGTTATTTTAAAAATATATTTCATGTACAGAATTGACATCTCTACAGATTTATTATAAGTATAGATTATCATCATCATCATTAGCCTATTAATGTCCCCACTGCTGGGGCACAGGCCTACCCTACGGATAGAATAGGGAGATTGGGCCATGACCCACCACGCGGGCCCAGTGCGGATTCGTGGGTGCTAACGACTGCAGATACAGCCGGGATCAACGGCTTAAGTTGCTTAACTTCAACGATCGCAGCCGAACGCGCTAACCACTTGCGCCTTCGAGCTCCTCCATTATTTATTATATACTAAATTAAATTTACAAAGAGTGCGGATGAATCACATTGACGAGTTTTGACTTGATCCATTAATTGCTTTGGTATTCGATAGCCGACCAAATTAGCTTCGGCTCATAGAGAGTTCAACAAAACACGACTCGTAATAGTTTAGATGGATCATGGTTGAATTAAAGTATGAAGCTTAATCAAATCGTGGTTACAAGTTGTGTATTGCGGCGATCTATCCTGAAGGGGTAGATCCTGGGGGCAAAGCAATTAATTGAAACAACTTTGATTTGATATTTTTTATATTTGATTTCATGCGAATATAATATATGAGCTTAATCTTATTAACGTATGGTTTGGTGCCTAAAGTCTATATCTTGGAATCTTCTATCAAACGACAGAGGATTACTAATTTCAAATATTTAAAAATCATGACATTACCTTTTTAATATAACTGCCAGCCGTAGGCATTACATGAACAAAGAGTTTACCCAAACAAGGAGGCTGTAACGTAATGGACGTTACAGTATCTAAAGGTGCTGTCCACGATGTATGATGTCGCAGGCGAGATCGCGCCGCGCAGTTTGCCAAATGTATTATAGAGATTTAGCAGTATCTAATTCTCTATAAATGATACGAAATGATAATACGAATAAGGATGCATTTAGTGATGGCATAATGAATATGTACTTACTGAGACGATCCTTTGTGGAGTAGATATTTATTTACTTTCTTATAATGTTTTTGGTTTATGTACATGATACAAACAGTCAACATTGTTCAAATCTCTTAAGTATAAAAGTGTACGAGATTACTATTTACCTCGTATCATGTATAGATACTGCTAAAACTCAAACGTTAGAGTTCTCATACGTTTGGCAATCCTGCGCGGCGCGTCCTCGCCCGCGACAACACACATCGTGGGATCGTACCTTAAAAGACATTCATATAAAATACCTACATTGATATCGATTCTGACATGATAAGTAAATAATCTATGTATAGGATAGCTGGCATGGGTTCGTGTCCTGTCTGCCGCCTGGTCCGCGTGGATCTTTTTCTAGTAAAATTTTCTTTAGAATAACTACTTAATTTGACGACCTCCGTGGCCGAGCGGTTTATACGCCGGGTTTCATGGCTGTCGCCGACTCGAGAGGTCTCGGGTTCGAATCCCGGTGGGGGCAGATGTTTGTGTGATGAATACGACATTTGTATTCCAGTCATGGGTGTTTAATATGTATTTATATAAATGTACTTATATATGTACAGTATATGTATACTATCCATTACCCTAGCATCCCATAACACAAGCCTTATAGTGCTTACTTTGGGGCTAAGCTAATTGGTGGGAGTGTCGGAAATATTTATTTATTTATTTAAATAAGTAGTAGTTAAATGCTCAAAAGAAATATACTCATCTCTATTTTTGGTCGGCAGCATCTCCGTTCTTCATCGTGGAGCCGGAGTTCCAGAACCTGGCGGAGGGCGAGACGGCCACGATCAAGTGCGTGGCGGGCGGCACCCCCAACCCTCAGATCTCGTGGGTGTACAACGGCCGCCCCATCGAGCACGCGCCATACAACCCGCGCCGGCAGGTCACCGGCAACACCATCACCATACCCAACCTGGTGAAGACGGACACCGGCAACTACGGCTGCAACGCGACCAACTCCATCGGATACGTCTACAAGGATGTCTACATCAATGTGCAATGTGAGTTTTTTTATTACATATCTAATATATAAAATTCTCGTGTCGCGGTGTTTGTGGTTAAACTCCTCCGAAACGGCTCGACCGATTTTCGTGAAATTTTATATGCATATTCAGTAGGTCTGAGAATCGGATGTAATCCACCCCTAATTTTTTTTTTTTCAATTTTAGATTTTTTTTAATTTTTTTATGATACAGCATTAGTAAATACATACATCCCTAAACGGTTCGTCGTGCAAACTAAGCGAGTCCGCTTCAGGCGGGGCTTCCCGAGGCCGCAGCTCCAGCTCCGACGTAGCTCTATGGTGGCTGCCCACAAGGGGAGTGAGGCCCCCCGCGCGGGGAGGGCTACTGAGAATCGGATGTAATCCACCCCTAAATTTTTTTTTTCAATTTTAGATTTTTTTTTAATTTTTTTTATGATACAGCATTAGTAAATACATACATCCCTAAATTTTCAACTTTCTACTACCAACCCCTATTTTTTTATTTTTTTTATTTTATTTTATTTTATTTTATTAGGGAATTTTATGGCGGTACGAAGTTCGCTGGGTCAGCTAGTATTATATAAAATTCTCATGTCCCGGTGCGCATAATTGAACTACTCCGAAACGGCTCGACCGAATTTTGTGAAATTCAGTAGGTCTGAGAATCGGCCAACATCTATTTTTCATCCCCCTAAATGTTAAGGGTAATCCACCCCTAAATATTTTTTTTCAATTTTAGATTTTTTTTTTAATTTTTTTATGATACATCATACAAAAAAATATAACCCAAAATTTTCGCCCTTCTACCACCAACCCCTATTTTTTATGGCGGTACGAAGTTCGCTGGGTCAGCTTGTAATATATATATAATTTTGTTTTTTGAAGTGAAACTTCTTTACGCACACTTGACTTGGGGCTAGCTAGATGGTTGGTATTTACCACTAGCTTGGGAACCCATTATACAACAGATAAAATCCCAACCCCGAGCATACACTGCAGGACCAACAGATACTATTAGTTCTTTTTGTTTGCATGATTTAACATAAGAAGGAGATAGAAAGCCTCTCTGAGTTTGTTTCGCCGGTTCTTCTCAGAAAGGTCTCCCAATTTTTGAACCGGTGGTAGTTCACGGTAGTTAGGGTCAAATAAATAAACTCAAAATTACAAAAAGAATTTTAAATAAAGTATTTTATTAACTAAATTAACTAATAAATTCATACATAGACAATAACATTTTAGAAATCTTCCAACGAAATAACCGAACGCTCAATAAAAGTCTTTCGAAGGTAGCTCGACAAAATTAAATAAAATGACATTGATGCAGACTTGAAAAGGCTACGAAACGTCAATAAATAAATAAAGTTTCGTGCATTAACCCGTTAAAACTAGTTTTATTTAATGAGTGTAGTGCGTGAAAACCTAAGAAACAAATAAATCATGTATATTTGCAAGTTTAGGTACTTAACATTATATGAATCAACCAAGTAAATACTTTGAGTATAAGTAGTATAGAGTTTAATGTTTCATGCTAGGCTTGTTGTTTTCGAGTAGGTGAACGTGGATAACCACGTAAAATATTTGAATATAACATGAAAAGGAATCAAAGATTCGCGTGGACTGTAGAAATATAATTTATCGACAAGAAAAGAAACAAAAGCAAACAATATCAAAAAGAATATAAAATACGGCTCTATGAAGCATGGTACCTACAGGGTATTGCAACATAACACAAAAATGGTACGCACCAAGAATCTGTAGACTAAGAAATAATATAAAAGAAGCGAGTGTGCTTATTACCACATGACTGAAGTGAAACTTCTTTAGCTCCATCTGTATGTGTGACCGCTTACACTTTTCGTAACGCGTAACTCGTAACGCATTCGCCAGTTTACCCCCCAAGTCAAGCGTGCCTGAAGACGATTCACTTCAAAAACCAAGTCAATACAATATTATTAATACGTAATACAATCATATAGACAGACTAGCTGACCCAGCGAACTTCGTACCGCCATAAAAAAATAGGTGTTGGTGGTAGAAAGTTGAAAATTTAGGGATGTTGTATTTTTGTATGATGTATTAAAAAAAATAAAAAAAAATATCTAAAATTGAAAAAAAAAAAGATTTAGGGGTGGATTACCCTTAACATTTAGGGGGATGAAAAATAGATGTTGTCCGATTCTCAGACCTACCCAATATGCATACAAAATTTCATGAGAATCGGGAAAGCCGTTTCGGAGGAGTTTAACCACAAACACCGCGACACGAGAATTTTATATATTAGATAAAGCATGACAAACCATGAACATATTTTACAGGTGTACTAGAAACGTCCAGTCTATTTATTATTAAAAATTTCAATGTGGTTTGTTTCCGGGGTCTTGGATGCTGGATTGTGTGATATGTCCTCACAATCTGTTCTAGCCAAGATAGCTGTAGCGTAGTGAGTATTGATGAGCCCTACAGATCACCGGTATATCAATCTTGTCTCAGGACAGACTCAATCTAACTGTTCCGTGAAGCGTTTAAGCGGTCCCCCTGCGGCGATATACGTTCCCGGGATTACGTGATGCTCCGGCGTTCTTCTACCACGCAACATTGCCCATAAAAACGCCCAGGAAGGGAAACCGTCACTAATTTATTCGAATTTAGTTCCTCGTGTGATTGCAATAAGAGTGTTATTTAAATTGTGCGCGCGTTGTGAGGATTAAACGATCAACGGGATATGTAGACACGCCATCACGCGCGGCGCTAAAACGATGACCGAATTGGCACGCGTTTTTATGTCCCCTATGAACTTTGTACCTCGCATTATACAACAATCTAATATTATTAATGAACTTTATCCCAATGTGTGTGAATTTTTCACCCTCTGCTTAAAAAAGGATACACGGTTAATTGATAAATGAAATTAATTTATTCAGTAAGACTAGCTTAGTCCATAAATGCGTCCGCCTGAAATTCTATTTTTGTTAATAGCGTTTGTTACCTACCTACGTATCCATTACTTACCACTGTGAATGCCGCTTGACCACAGGACGAACAGATTTCAGTAATGATAAATCAATTTCATATTTAATTTACCCACTGAATTTGTAGCTGGCTGCTGTTTCATTTACCGCACAATAGGTTATTCGACAGTATGAAAAATAATGAACCAATTGTTGGCAACTGTATTTAATATCATTGTTAGCAGCGATTTTACTGATCTGAAAGAATAAATAATTAATAAGCTTTCTATAAAATGATTAAATAGAAATGATATTTTTGCTCCATGGATACGTGACCGAAAACGCCTGGGATTGGCCAAGACTAAAATGACGTCACTCGCTAGTTAACTTCTAGCCAAAGTGACATTGTATTGCATCGTTTTACGTTTTAATGACAGTCGTGTGACGTCACGTGCTAGTGAGACGCCATAATGTCCAGAGAAACTTTATCGCGGCGACTTGAAAATTCTAATTTATCGTTTCCTATTTTTTACTGAATTACACAACAGAATTAAAAGTATCTCCTTTTTATGGACTCCATAAACATTAGCGAATAACGTCAAATCGTTTTATAAAACTTGTCAAATACCCAATCTTATTTGACATATACTTTTTCATTTTTTTTCTATTATCTTTCTCTATCTATATATATATAAAACTCAAAGGTGACTGACTGACTGACATAGTGATCTATCAACGCACAACCCAAACCACTGGACGGATCGGGCTGAAATTTGGCATGCAGGTAGATGTTATGACGTGGACATCCGCTAAGAAAGGATTTTGATCAATTCTACCTCCAAGGGGATAAAATACCGAAGCGAAGCGAGGGCGGGCCACTAGTGTAAGTATAAAATATTGACTTTTGACCTAGAGAGTTAAATTTTAACTTTAGGTGTGTTCACATTTTTGTAGGATTCACTTCTATCGCATGTGAACACCAAGTCTTCAAATTGAAAAATGGCTTCAATACGAGATAACTCATGAAGTCACTTTCCATTACAAATGGAAATTATATAAAAATTATGACTATACAAAAAAAACTGATTTAATCTGTAAGAATCAAATCTCGCTCCAATCTTCTTTGTTCTTGGCCTACAAGCTTACGAGCTTAAATAAATTTGAACTTATTTGTCAAGTCCCATTCAAGTTGTCAGTTTTAATCTAGCGTTTTTATTCTCAAAATGATAGTCGCCGCGACCGCCGTAAACGTCAGTTAGTATAATTGATAGCTATGGGCGGACGAACGTATTGTTGCCGCTCTGACTGAGCGCATAGCCAGGCAGAGGTGCCTGTCTCGTCATTACGTTACTTCATTGGCCTTGGGACAATTGATCTTAATGTCACCGTACATACTCTCTATGAGCAAATTATAACCTCCGTGGTCGAGTGGTTTGTACGCCGGGTTTCATGGTGTCGCCAACTCGAGAGGTCCCGGGTTCGAATCCCGGTGGGGGCAGATGTTTGTGTGATGAACACGAGCATTTGTACTCCAGTCATGGATGTTTTAAATGTATTTCTATATAAATATACTTATATATGTAAAGTATATGTATTCTGTCCGTTACCCTACTATCCCATAACACAAGCCTTAATACAAGCCACAATAGTGCTTACTTTGGGGCTAGGCTAATTGGTGTGAGTGTTGGAAATATTTATTATTATTATAAATTTGGAATATCAAAACTGCTTTAAAAGGTATTACCGCAAACACGTTCCGTCCGCAACTTCTGTCTGCGTGGTTTTTTGTTCATACAAACTTGCACTCCTTTCTTCACCCCCTTAAAAAAAATATTAAAAGCATGATAACTATCATATATCCTTTCCCGAGACTCAATTTCTACACCAGTTTTCACCTAATTCGGTTCAGTAGTAAAAGCGTGAAGAGGTATCAGACAGACAGACACTTTCGAATTTTAATATTGGTACGGATTGTTATTCATCCTTAACCATCAGTTTAAGCCAAGTTGAACTTTTATAATAATTGTCATTACTTTGCTCTCCTCTCTTTGAGGAAATCATATCACGT